AAAAACATTTAATAAAAAAAAAAAAAAGTTAACAGCATTTACGTCTGTTCACTTTAACTGTTGTATTCCTCTCTGTGTCTCCCTACCTTCATGTTTCTAACACTAACCTCCCTCTTGTTGTACCTACAATAATGTCGTGCCTACAATAATGATAACACTCTTTTAAAACAAGTGTAATCATTATTGTAGGTTAAATTGTTACAAAGAGACTCCAAAATACAATGGCTCAAGTAAAATGAAAGTGTATTTCTCATTCAAGTCCTGTCCAGAGTGGGTGTTTCAGGTTTGCAGGAAGCCATGAGGTCCTTCAGGATCGCAGGCAGAAAGCAGTTCTGGCAACATTTGGCTTCCAGGGTCAGTTCTGGTCATACTGTTGTGGCTCTAGGAAAGGCACAGGAACTCTGTGTGAGGCTTGATGAGCCAGGCCTGCAAGTTGCTCATTTTAGGGGGCAGCTAGCTCACTGTCGCAACCACAACAGAGAAACAGAGCTCAGGGCACAGGATCACACTTAGGAATCCTAAAATCCCTGAAATAGCATGACATTAACTGGCCCATGGTCCACTAGGAACAAAACCTTGTAACCAAAACATGCTAGAAGAATGCAATGAACTAAGCAAGGGCTTTGGAATACACAGAACATATGTTTGAAACCTGCCTCTATAAGTAACCAGCTTTAGACAAGTTACTTAATTGCTCCATACTTCAGTTTCCTCATCTATCAAAGATTAGATGAAATGTTTTTAATAGGATGCACAATAAATGTTTGGTTTTTTTCCCCCTCTTCTGACCCTAGCTGTTCTGTTATTTGTGTTAAGTAAACTGAGATGGATTTCCAGTCACCTAATCAGTTTTCTTAGCATTTTGTTTGTCATGTTTTTTCTCTTTCAGTATTTGTGTTTTACTGTCAATCATCAATTTTACTTATTTACAACTTCAGTAAACCAAATGGTTTGGCCTTTAAAAAAGAAAATAATTTAAAATAATTGTTTTATTTATTTATTTATGAAGTAATTTCCCTTTTTTTAAACAAAGATATCACTGTATCCAGCCTCAAACAAACTGATAGTACAGAAATAACAGTGTAGGCAAAGCTGCCAGAAATGTAAAAATAATGAACAAGAAAATCTTTACTGAGCTAGAGTCTTAGAAGCAGCCAACACGTTCTGGAAATGAATCTCATAATTCAAACAGCATATTTATCTGAAATGTTTAGAAATGACACTAAGACTTCTAAATCAAGTTAAAAATTTCTGCTTTAAGCCTTCTTTGCACCAAAAATGTAGCAATGATTGATGAAGTATAAAATGGGAAAGTTAAAATCTTTTGATGAAAATCTGTTCGAAAATTAGTATTCTGATTTCAATGCAAGTTATCACTGGAACGATTCCTGTCGCAGAGAGTTACAAACTAGCCGTCCTTCTCTATTTCTAAAAGTGAATCTGGTGATGGAATTGAGACCCTGGTTAAACAGCTGCTGCTGCTGACTGGGTGTGGTTAATGTGGCAAATTAGAAACATTAATCATCCCTTTCTCAATACCATAAGCTACTTTATAGACATTGAACTGATGGATTTTTGTTTTAGTGACATGACGACCTGTTTCTGCTTATACTTCTAACCAAGTATTTGTAAGATGCTATTTATTGTTGGGTTGTCTTAACAGGTAAAATTTAACTTTAAGCAAAATCTTTTTAATCAAAATGACTACAATATTGTGAATGTTCCATGTATAGAATGGGAACTTCAATGCCAAGCAAAGGATAAGCTTCCATGTAAACACTACAGTGTTTTAGTTAAATGTGTGCCACACTGATTTTGCTGCCATTCAAACATTTGCTTGTGGTTCTCTCAACTCTTCTGTGTTCTAAATATGCTGTATGTAAAAGTTCTCTGATAGTTGCTGAATCTGATAGTAAATTTGATAAGTAAAAGTTTCATTGCTTGTTGAGTTCCATGATACATGATTTACTTTTATGCCATTGTTTAATGTACTTTTTTCCTTTGAAGGACTGTTAGCTGTTCAAATCTCTAAAATTCCAAGTCTGTTTTGTTTTAGAATTCAAGAAATGACATAGAAATAAAAACTAAAATTAATCCCTGTTTTAAAACGTGGTATTTAAGAACCTATAAACCTAAGTCTCAGGCTGTTGAGTCATTTCTAACTCACAGCAAGGCTGCCATGTAATGTGATGTACTCTGTTACTGAGCTCTTTCTAATTATTGTATTGTTTTTGTTAAGTGCCATCGAGTCGGTTCTGACCCATAGCAACCCTGAACAGGGTTTCCAAGGGTGTAAATCTTTACGGGAGCCGAAAGCCTCCTCTGTCTCCCACAGAGCAGCTGGTAGTTTCGAACTGCTGACTTTGTGGTTTGCAGCCCGATTCGTAACCACTATACTACCAGAGCTCCTTAATTATTGTATAGCATTCTTCAATTTTACTAGCATCAATGATTGGAGAACTTATAAAACTCTTTAAAAAATTTTAAACAAAATTACACAAGTATTGCTTTGCCTGGAGTATGAATGACATACTCCAAGAAGGAGATACAACAGTTTTTTTAAAATCAAGTTTATTTTTAATATTAAAAATTACTGTTGTAGTAAAAAATAATAAAATAAAAATTCCCAAAGAAAGTAAGATGGGAAATGTGTGAGAATGAATGTTGCTTGACATATTAGCACACTCTGAATTTCCACTTTCAGGTGATGGAATATGAGAATAGGATTCGCGCCTACTCTACACCAGACAAAATCTTTCGGTATTTTGCCACCTTGAAAGTGATCAATGAGCCTGGTGAAACTGAAGTGTTTATGACTCCGCAAGATTTCGTGCGGTCCATAACACCCAATGAGAAACAACCAGAACGTAAGTAGCTGAAGTGAAAAAGAAGCTGTGTTATCTATTTTGTTGATAAGTTCCCTGGTTTCTTTCTTAATATTGCCTAAATCTTTTAGGGTTCATACAGTAAGTAGTATTGTGTAACTATTGAACGTTAGGCATTTTGCTAGACCTGAGGAGTACAGAAAAGCAGTGAGCCTGCAATTAATATGGTACTCCTCAACCAGGGTAAGGGATTAAGGAGATTGTACCAAACTGACTCATGATCAGTAATAAGAATGTTCCTACAGGAAACACATTATGCTTGCGGCAGCTATCAAAGTAGTCTTTAAAAAAGGAAATAGAACCAGTAACAGATAATTTCAGGCCTATGTACAGGCTCCTCATGAGCACATTTAAGTGTTCTGGAATACCTGTCTGCACAATGCTATCTATAGTTTGTCATGATACACACAGCCAAAAACCACGGATTTAATCGTTTCTACATGTTCCATTTCATGACAATGATTATAGTCTCTGTTATGCAAACATTCTCACCCTCCTTTTCTGAGTTGTTCCTCCCCCAGAAACATAAATTCCTTGCCCTCTAAGTTTCCTATGGACTCCTGGTGTGGTGCTATAGGATCAGCACTAAACTGCGAAGCACAGGGTCAGCAGTTCAAACCCACCAGTTGTTACTTAGAAACCCTATACAGGGTCAATATGAGTTGAAACTGACTCAACGGCACTTAACAGCAACCCCAAAGGTTCCTATGTAATCTTTTGAGTTGCTGTTATCAGTATGACCCCATATAGCTGGTTCTTAAAGAGCATGATGTTCAAGGCAGACATATTTTGCTAGCTAAGTGAAACTATTATTGTGTTTTATGAATACTTTCAGGAATTTTTTTATTTAAAATTTAAAGGTAATCTAAGGGCAGTAGCTCTAGAAGCTACAGCCTTTTCATGGACTCCATGGCTCTAGAAAGTCTGTAGTTCATGAAAATTTGAAATTCTGTTCTACATTTTCCATCTTTTGATGGGGATTCTTCTGTGGACTCTTTCATCAAAATGTTCATTAATTGAAGTCAGACACCATCCAGTTCTAATGGTCTCATAGCAAAGAAAGCAGTTTTATCTAGAGCTTTATTTTTATCCCTTCTTTCAGTGCAGCTTGGACTTCCTTTAATACCATCATTCTTGATTACATTCTACTTTCTGAAATGGGTGAACATTGATCTGTTATTTTTGGTACATTGACTGTGTTCCTTCCATCCTCTTTGTATGCTTCCTGTGTCATTCAGGAAAATTTTGCCCATATTTTCCTGCAGTATGGCAACTCAGGCTTGAATTTTGTTCTTCTGTTCTTTTGACTTGAGCCAAGGATGTTCTTTCCTTTAAGCGCTCTAACTCTAGGTCTTTGCACATTTTATTATAATACTGTGTTATGTCTTCTCAAGCCACACTTTGAAATCTGCTCAGCACTTTTATGTCTTCATTGTTTTTCCATTTGCTTTAGTTACTTTATGTTCAAAAGTAAGTTGCAGAGTCTCTTCTGCCATCCGTTTTGCTCTTTTCTTTCTTTCTTTTTAACGACCTTTTGCTTTCTTCATGTATGATATCCTTGATGTCATCCCACAATTTTTCTGGGGTTTTTTTGTTGTTGTGATTGAAAAAAAGTTTTTCCATTGACTAGTAAAGTCGTTTGTTTTGCAAAATCTATCCATTCTCATTTCTGTCACCGAGGCCATACTTTCCAACTATGGATCCTTCTTTGTTTCCAACCTTCACACTCCATTCACCAGTAATTGTCAATGGATCTTGATTGCATGTTTGGTCAGTTTCAGAATGCAAAAACCCATTGCCATAATGTCATTTCTGACTCAGAAGTAGCAGCGGTGCTGCCAGGGTTTCCAAGGCTGTGAATCTTTATGGGAACAGACAGCCTCATCTTTCTCCAGTGGAGCAGCTGATGGGTTCAAACTGCTTACCCACTATGCCATGAGGGCTCCTTCAGAATGTGAAAGTTAGTGTAAGTCTTCAGTTTCCTCAACTTTGGCATTAGAGGTTAGTACATAGATTTGAATAATAGTCATAATAACTGTTCATCCCTGACGGTGTATTGATCCTATCACTAATAGTGTTGTACTTTAAAGAAAGATCATGAAATATTCTTTTTAACAATGACTCCAACGCCATTCATTCATCTTAAATGTGTCATTTGTGACATAGTAGAACATATGATTGTCTGATTCAGAATGGCCAATACTAACCCATTTCAGCTCACAAATGCCTACAATATTTCTTTTCAAGTGTTCCATTTCATTTTTAACAACTTTCGATTTTCCTTTATTCATACTTGATACATTTCACATTCTGCTTAGTAGTGAATGTTTACAGCTGTTTCTTCTCATTTTAAGTCATGCCATATCAGCAAATAAAGGTTCCTAAAGCTTTACTCCATTCACATCATTAAGATTAACTGTTTTGAGGAGGCAGTTCTTCTCCAGTCATATTTTGAGCACTTAGGAAGTATCATAAGCTAGTCCAGGTGCATGAAATTTGCTGAATATTTCAATTTGGGGTTATGGATATTTTCAAACATTAAAAAGCAGAGAATAATATAATCACTACATATTTACCTGGATGCCTGGTGTGCAGCTTCAGCACTGGATGTTGAACTACAAGATCAGCAGTTGAAGCCCATCAACTGCTCCTTGGAAACGCTATACAGGGTCACTGTGAATCTGAGCTATCTTAATGGCACTTAACAACAACAACAACAGAACAGCCCTCACTACCTATTTACTCATGTCTCACTACAGTAGTAGCAACACATGGCTAATTTGGGTTCATCCTCAACCTCTCCCACTACCTCTCCTCATCGCAGACTGTTTTAGAGTCAATCTAGGACATCATATCATTAATCTGTAAATACATATGTTTGTATCTCTAAAAGATAAAGGAGTTTAAGAAAATGTAACCATAATGCCATTTTGACTTATGTTACTGTTGTTAAGTACTGTTGAGTCAGTTCCCATTTATAGCGACCCTGTGTAGGGTTTCCAAGGAGTAGCTGGTGAGTTTGAACTGCTGACCTTGTGGCTCAAATTCACTTTGTGTTCAAGTGCTTATCCTACAGTACCACACCAAGACTCTGCAAGGTCTGTTTGAGCAGCATTTGGGGTCCTGGTGTGTGGCGCCTTAGAATAAGCACTCGACAACAAGGTCAGCGGTTTGAACAAACCAGCCGCTCCTCAGAAACCCTATACAGGATCACTATGAGTCGTAAACAGTTCAATGGAACTTAACAGCAAATTGTTAACAGAACTTAACAACATGTTATTAAGTGCCTTTGAGTAACAACTCATAGTGACCCTGTATAGGGTTTCCGAGGAGCAGCTGATGAATTTGAACCACCGAACTTGCAGTTCAAACCAACCTCAAATGGAGTTCCGAGGCTGTAAATCTTTACAGGATCAGAAAGCTTCTTCTTTCTCCCATGGGACAGCTGGTAGTTTCAAACCTCAAGGTTAGCAGCCTAACTTGTAACAACTATGCTACAAGAGCTTATATATGTGTATATATCACTGTGAGTTAATGCACTGTACTGCATAGTTTGTATGAACCTTAAGGTGGGTGGTTCAAGCTCACCAGCTCCTTGAAAACCCTGTACAGGGTCACTATGGGTCGTAACTGACTCTGCAGCACTTCATATATATATACACAATCATATATGTATACTGATACTCTTATATTTCTGGTGTGGTGCTATACATAAGGTGTACACTGGACTGCAAACCATAGGGTTGACAGTTCAAACCCATTAGCAGCTCCTTGGAAACTATATACAGGGTCACTATGAGTCAGAACCTATTCAGAGGCACTTAGCAACAACGATAGATAGATAGATAGATAGATAGATAGATAGATCTCTATCTATCTATCAATCTATATGTGGTGGTGGTGGTACTGATGTGCCATGGAGTCGGTTCCAACTCATAGTGACCCTGTACAGGGTTTCCGAGGCTGTAAATCTTTACAGGAGCAGAAAGCCTCATCTTTCTCCCACGGAACAGCTGATCGTTTCAAACTGATGACCTTGAGGTTCACAGCCCGATTTGTAATCACTACACTACCAGAGCTCTCTCTCTCTCTCTCTCTCTCTCTCTCTCTCTATATATATATATATATATATATATATATATACACACACACACACACATATATTGATGTGTATATTGCTTCCTTTTATACTCCAATTGAAATTTAACTTTGCATTCTTTTGTTTCTTGACTTATGAAGCCCTGTTGCATGAACAGCCTAGCTATTAAGTGTCTGATATGCCAAATACATTCCTGGTTTTCATAAAAAGGCAAAATGATGAATAATGACTTTTCTTCTGAGATGATAATCATGAGGGAAAATTCTGATATATTAAACTGAAAATAGGAAATTTGGTTTCATTTTACTTGCTCACGAACAAGAATTTCTACAAATGTGTATAAGCAGAAGTAGAATATATATGAGGGGCTTCAAAAATGTCATGGGAAAATCCCATTCTCTTTTAATTGCATTTTGCATGAACTTTTTGAAGCCCCTAGTATTGTCCCTATGTAGGTTGAAATAAAGAAAGGTGTGAGACTAGATTTCTTTAATATAAACTTTTGATGCCTATCATCAGATGGCTAGACTCTGCATATTAGCTCATGCATAATTCAACTTTGTTTTTCACACAGACTGTAACCCAGGATACCTAACAGATCTGAATTTGTAAGTTTCAGTTTTAGAACAGTTCAAAAATAATCGTGAAGCATAAGACTCCATGAAGCACTAAAATTAAGCATTTTTAAAATGAGGAGGAAACAGACGAATGTCAGAATAAAAAGCTGAGGAAAAAACCCTTTTATACTGAATACCTAAAAATTTTAGGTCAGGAAGTGACATTAAAAGGAAAAAATATATGTTGTATGTGACTTGGATAACATTTCTCATCTACCTTTCTATGAAATATGATCACTCTCTGGGTTCAGTGAATTAGGCATTTG